AAAAACCCCCAACTACACCAACAGAACAGACACAACCAACCGCAGCCGCCAACCGCACACAGAACAGATCTGCACCTACTCAAATTATTTGTGACCACCACACCATCGCCTACATTGCACCGCCAACAACACCACCAAAAACCACGGCTCAACACCACGAAAAAAGACACACCCGCACACAGAACACACAAAAAACCACACCGAACACACCCCAACTGCACCGAAAACGAGCGAACCCGCACAAAAAACCACCGTCCGCCACCAACTTCAAATTCTCAATTCACAGTGCCCAACCTCATCAACGCACACACTGCCTACAACTGCCATTATTGGAAGTTGCAGTCGAATTAGCACCAGTATAGGCAGTAAACTGGAGATTCAGATCTTTTACCAGGAGATTTGCTTACTAACCGTCCAAATCCGGGATACCAACCGCCCAAATCTGCTGTGGAAAACTCCATCTCCGCCTGCACATTTCCTCCAGATCGCTAATTAAACAGCGGCGGCTTCACAGAAAAGGTAGAAAAGAAGAGGGAGTAGAGGAGAGAAGAGCGCCGCTTCGAAGTTTGATAGGAAGGACACGATGGCGATGGATGAGAGAATGCGACAGGACGAACGGCAATGGAGAGGAATAGGTGAGACGACGCCGGCGGCGTGGTCGAGAAGAGAGTCCGGAGGAAGATAGAAATTGTTAACGATTTTAGGGTTAGGGCTGGGGTATATATAAATTAATTTACTGTAGATAAAAATAAAAATAAAAAATGTTTTTAATTTAATATTTAAAACCTGATTTTTGAAGTATGAAACTTGAATTAGGATTTATGAAAATGGTATTTTAAAAGTAGGGCTAGGTGTAATTTCTCCTTGTTTAATTTTGTAAACTTATACTCAATTTGATGTGTTTTAACGATTTTCCCTTAACTGTGATAAAGGGAAAAAAAGCATCTACTCTAGATTATAATTCCATTTTCTTTTAGTAGCTTGTTTGATCCTTGTTTCGTTTTGTTCTCTCTTCTCTTTACGGTCTACAATCTTTTGTTTCAAAGGTTGAACTTCATGCAGAAGTAGTGGCGGACCCAGCACCTGGCGAGCTCCGGCGGCCGCCCGTGCTGTATCCGTCAGGAACTTTTTTTTTAAAAGTGAATAAAGGTTTAAGAATATATACCTGTAACTTGTTTTGTTTTCCAAATTTCTTCTAACTCAGTTGGTTGGAGTCCACATTAAATGTATGGAAAGTCCCAGTTTTGACTCCATTTTCCCACAATTTTATTGTGAAATATTTTAAATTATACAGTTTTTACCAAAATTAAATAGGATAAAGGGGAGATTCGAACCCATGACCAACCCTTAGAATATTGACAGCTCGACCATTCTGTAACTCGTTGAATTTGATACCAAATTTGCCAGAATGATATATGTTACATTTTAGCGTTTTAATGCAATTATAAAAATTTGAACACGTTCTCTTCCTTCGAATTATACAAAACTTAGTCACAATATTATTTGGTGAATATTGCTAATTTTTACAACAAAAGTATATATATTCAGTTTGAACAAAATAATTGTTATATTTAAATTTTAGACCTTATTTGATTCTTTTTTTTCAAAATGCGTTTTCCTCTCTTCTTTCAACAACAAATTTTTTAATAATATAATATTAAATGCAAATTCAAAATTTTTTCTTATTTTTAACCACACATTCTCCATCAAATCACTATTCCAAAATACATTTTCTTTTTTTTTTTGCAAAAAATGGACATTAAACGAGCTCTTAATATTTTATTGTACAACGGTCCACGATCCACGGCCGCTCATGCTGACTCGAAATCCTGGGTCTGCCACTGTATAGAAGGCGCATTTTTTGCAGTAGTCCTCAAGTTAGAAAATTTTTGAAAGTCTGGAATATCAATTTTATAGGTAAAAATAAAAATTCTTGGTGCTTGGTTGGATGGAAAAGAGTATTGGTTTGTCCATAAAGAGAAATCTTTTGTTGGAGAAGTGCTAATATGTGATAAAATTAGACTTTCTATGAGTTTTAATATACCATTCTTCTCTTCATCTTTTCCAGGAGAATGATGTTCATTGTTCATAACAAATATAGTTATTTAGGAGAACGATGTTCATAACATGTGATGGACATTTAGAACTGTCACATTTTTCATCTAATCACAAAATGACACACGCATTCTTGTATATTGCATTTGCCATAGAAATATAGTCAAATGATATGTTAGAATATGTTCAATTCTACTCGAAAGAGATTGTTAGATAGGTTAGAAACATTGATTCTTCAACCAATTCGTCGTATTGTCAAATTGTGAAATAAGGGATTAAGAGTGAACTTTGCTTGGTGATTCGAGATCCTAATACGTTTTTCCATACATTAATTTCTTCAACCTTTTGCATTCAAGATCATTTTGCATTTATTTAGTAACCTTAGTTTAAATTGCATTTTAGTCATAGTTTAATTATAAAATTCAAATCATCAACTATTTTGAGTTTAATAGATTCGGTTAAAGTCGCGATAATAGAAATCAAGTTAAATCAATTATCGTGGGAATGATACTCAAAATTTTACAATTTCCACTTTATTACTTGTTAACGAACCATGCACTTGCGGTAATTTACAAAGCGAACATATTTTTGTGAACAATAACATCTCTCACCATTTCTCTTATTCAAAATTGAACCTGAAAATTTGGTTTCATTTGGCTTCTTTATGGAAGATTAGTAAATTCCTGCTAAATACAATTGAATGGATTGCTTTTTTAGCATCCTATTTGACATTAGAATATATTGATTTTTTCTCCTTGTTCTGTGGTTCGAATCCAATGAACCCACTGATTGTCCACTTCATTGGTACGGAGTCAAATTTCCTTTTGTATTCTTAAAACCATAGGAAGTTGGGAGGGCTGTCTTTGGTGAATGGATATGGTGGTGGTTGTAATGGCAGTTGTCCTGATGGTATAGTGCATAGCATAGCATATATATCTAGGGTTTTTTGTCTACTTAAAATGTGTGATGGCAGGATAGAGTAAGCTATAAATGCTTTGTGAAGAGAGAGTATATGTTCAGGTTTTGGCTCGTTTTTCACCCTTTAATATCAGTGGCTATAGAATTTACTGAAAACTGTGAGTAGCCGACAGGAGAGTAGCCGACAGGATAGAGTCGACTGAATGTCTTTTGGAAGAGGAATTTATTGTTGGACTTCATTAGTTGTATGTCCATCTTGTTTGGTAACATGCATTTCCACTTTTCTTTATATCGTTTACCCTTAATCAAATCCAAACAAGAAGCCTAGCTGCTTAGGATAAACAAGTATTGTTATGAATTTGCAAGTAACAATATTTGTTAATGTCATGTGATACTTTATGCGATGATTAAATGTTATTAAAAAACCTTGTTGGATGCAAAAAAAAGAAGGAAAAAAAAAGGATAATGATTTGATTTTCTTAAGTTGGAGAAGGATAAATCAGATGAATTCTTTCTGAACTATGATCAGTTTGAAGTGGATCTTGTTTCATATAAGCATACGCTGTTTTAGAATTTTAAGATGCTTGCTCCGATGGATATCAAGAGCTCATTATTTTGTGAACTATCTGCTTAATTTGAAATAATTGTCTGCTGCACCTGTCCAATACGAAGCTCGTTGAAACTGCTTCCATGATGTTTCAAAAGCATGATGCCGGAGAGATTACGTCCATAACTATATATTAAGATGTTGGTTGATGTTTTGCATATTTCTGGGCATTGATATATTGTAGACTTCTTGCTGTCATGACCCTCCTCGAGAGTATAAAAGCTTCTGCCCATTTTCATTGAAATGGCCCAGAAAGTTTGATTTGCAATGTTATGTTATTCTTAGTAAATACAGATGGACATAGCTACATGTTGTCTCCTTTATATAATTTTTTACAGGCCAAAAAGCTTCTGCATGGATATTAGAGGTATAAACTGGACTGGACCCTATAGTCCTGGAGAACTCCCGGACCATATTGGTCTAGGCATCGATGGTCCATCCACGTGACCTTAAAAAAATGGCAATAAGTTTTCTGACCGTAGGGTCATTTTCTATTAAATCTTCCAAGTCGAAAACCTTGGTCCCCACTTCTTATGTACTGGCTTGTGAGTTGTGCTAGGCCATGGAATTTTCTTGTTTGGTGAACAGTCTTTCTCACGTCGAGATTTCTATGATCGCAATCGCTTCGTACTGGTTGCTGGCCAGACCTTGCAAGCATTTAATATCATTAGTCGTGGCCCAATGCTCAATGCCTTGGATCAAGTCTCATCCTCCTTGGCTGTGGAAGACTATTAAGTAGTGACCTAAACTAAAGGTTTGTTCCATAATTGCAAATTATGGAGCAACCTTAGCAGTATCAAATTTTTGGGTTCTGTTTCTTACGTGAATCAAACCAAACATCTCAACGATAAAGCTGCTGAAAACCATAGACAAGCTATAGAGCATACAAATCCTACATTTATTTTTCCAACAATGCATGTTTAGTACACAATATGTTCAGCATTATCTAATCTTTCATGCCTAACATCTCATTGCCGTTGAAACCTAGTACATCGTGTTCGGACGCTATCAGGTGTGGAAGACGGGAATCTCGATTCCTTTGTTATTGCAGGCAACTGGTGCATCATATTTGCTGAATAGCCTGTAGGAAGATATGATTGAAAGCACTGCATAGCAAAGTGTGACTATAAATGTAATTGCAATGGATGCAGTGGCCTTCCGGCAGAAACCACCAAATGATCCACATGTTTGGCTCCATGTAATAGAGACATCCCCTTTATATGCCAAATATACCACCTCAGTTGATATAGCACCAGCAGCCAGTATAAAGTACGTCAGGAGCTGCACGCAATAGAGGAATATGTGACTTTTTAAGGAGAACGAGATAGCCACTTTACTTTTTTGAGCTTTTGCATACCTGGTCGAGGAGAAAGAATGTCCATGCTCGAGACATGGTCGACGGACGAGGTACGGCCACTATGATAGCCGACAGAAGGGAATAACCAGCACAAATGCCACTCGCGTGCACTAAATATCTACATATAAATGAATATCACACAAAACCCTCAGTAAATTATCTTCGAAAGCGAATTAAATCATTAATCAAGAAACAAAATACATATAAATGGTTACCTGAAAGCTCCAAGGTCGGAGTATGACAGAGAACCAAAGTCATTATTCTGAGAATCCTTGAGCATCACCACTAGAGCCACCACGCACAGGGCCACAGGCAGGAGACGGAGCAGTGTCTCTGCCGTGCGCAACCCAGTGCTTCCATTCATTTCATCCTCCCCAGCAATTGCACTCTCCTCCATTCTTTTGTCACCCATATTTCTCTCTCTCTCCTGAAAACAATTACAGAATGATGAAGAAAGTGAGGAGATGATAGGGGTGGTGTGCACTACTTATTAATGAAGTTTGGTGGTGATGAATTAAATGTCCATTAATGGATGCCACACTTTCCCATGCAATTATGTCCTTGGATAACTCTCATTATTTATATTTCTATGTCCTTTAACTGAAACTCAAGACGTGGAACTTGTGTGACCAAAGAAAAGGCAGCCTGTTAGATTTAGTGATACCTGAAAGATTTTGCTTGTCAAACATGAAGAAGGTTTGCTTTCAAAGTTTTAATCGAAGGTCACGCTACAGTGACATAATATCACGTAGCGTTCTATCGTTTCACCGTTTAAAACACGGTCACATTTTTCATCTAATCACAAAATGACACACGCTCTTATGTCGAACAAGCTGTCAGAATTTTTCTGTTAATGTGGCATTTTCCAAGGCCTGATCATTGATCAACAAATCCATTAATGGAGTTGTAAAACGTATCGCACAGGGTCAGTTCATCCAACATAAATGCTTGCTTGATAGTGTAAACATAAGCTATCAATCTTACAAAATGTGTGAATAATAATGGATCATAAATTGTGAATTTTACAAAATGTAGATCAAATACGTGACTGAAGATAGGTTACTACTTGCTCGGCCAGAAATAAATGGTTACCGAATGCTCAACCACTTTCGAAAAAAATTACCCACCCATTTCACTTTTGTCCATCCAACTAGGCAAAAATCTTACGTGGCAGACGAAAATCTTACGTGGCGACTAACACCGTTAAAAATTGACATTATTGATTTTTATCAATCGTTCAGATGGATTACTGCAATGCGAATTCTCCAACAAATTGAATTCGGCTTACGAAATTATCTGGACCACCTTCCCTTGTAACTCCTTTAGTCTTTTCTTTAATTCTTTCCTGTTTATTTATGGTGGTTTTGTGTACCCTTCAAAATCGATTCTGTGAACAATGATGTACAAATAAAACACGTCAAATGGTTGATTATCTTCCATTTGAATAAATTGTATGAAAAACACACAATTTCATTTCGAGACAGAAGAAAAATATAGGGCACTTTCCCTAAATTAAAACACGACGGAAATGGCGTAAAACCTTGAGGCTGCCCCCAAAATCTAATTTAATATAGGCCGGGTGAAATTGAGCTCCCACAAATTAATGTTTCCAGATGAGAACCCATTGGAACGGCCATTTCCCAATTTCCACCAAAAAATAAAAATTTAAAATTATATATAATACATAGATTTTATATATAAAAACAGAGAACAAGACGTGAGACCTTTCTTTGAGCAGAATAGAATGAGAAACTGAATCGATTTTGCACATAATAAAGAAAAGGCTCGAATCGGTATATGCCCGCAACGGAACCGAGAGGCTAAAGTCATTTGGAGAGAAATTGATGGTTAGAAGTTGGCTCCTAACGCATTTTTCAATAAACGAATTACATTTTAAATTTTTTATTGTACGATTTTTACTCATTATTACATTTACATCACTCTAATTCTCAAATTAATACAAGTTTCGCAATTTATGTCTAGAAAAAATTGTTAATTTAGAGTAAAAAGACGTATTTCTCTCTCCTACTTTTAAATAAGTAAAAGAAAATACAAAAATTTGAAAGTATTTATGAATGATTTATTTTATTTTATTTTTTTGGCAGTTCAAAGCGAGATCAAAAGTAACAAAAAAAGGCTCTATTCTTTATGAATTTCTAAGAAAATAGTTAGATAAAGGCAAGTTAAATTGGTCAACAACTAAACTGTGTGTGGTCCGCACTTACGATTTTATTGAACAATAGCACTTACACGATTTTTATAGGCGGTCGTTAAAAAAAAAATCAAAATTCTTTTTTGGCACTAAATATAATAAATTTAAATATTTGGAGGTTTTTTGTTTTTTATCTTACTTGGATCAGTAAGTACAACGAGTCCAGAGTTCCCAAAATAGCAATTCAAATGGATCCTTCCCTTAGACTAGTAATAGAGATTCATAGCTACTGAAGCGTGGTTAGTTAGATTATATGGTATAAAGCAAGAGCAACCCTTCTGCAGAACCCTAAAATTGACCTACGAACACGCATAGTTAATATTTGCCAACGAAGTGCCTTGTTCGGATGAAGGCTATGCGGATTGTACTTAGTACGTAAGAATCGAGAAATGTCAAGATTTTAAATAAGAGGAAAGGACAAATGGGATTAACGGCTATATTCCCTCTTATGAGCCGTTGATCGGAAATCTTTGTGGAAAGTGATAGGAAGGGAGCCAAGAGGGCAAATATTTAAATGTGGCTCTTGACATTTTCATTGTTTTTAACTTTCAAATAATTGTCATCCAATTTCCCACTAACAGTTGGATCGATATATTTGATACAATAAATTTAATAATAGCCGATAAGATAATAGATAATTTTGTCACACGATGTATATTTGTCTTTCTTAATCATATATAGTGGTGTAATTAGCTGAGTTGGCATTGGTGATCATACTAGAAATTCAATCCGATAAATCAATTATGTAAAATATTTTTTCCTTAATCTAGAGTTTTTACAATATTTTAGTCCAAATGAAGGGAATTATAAAAAAGAATTCACTTAGAATATCTTTTGCTTCTTTGACTACTTTGTACTTCCACGTAAGTAGCCAAGTAGGTAATATTTACATATAAGAGCATTGATCAGTCGGGTGATTGAAAATACCTTTATGGAGATTCAGAACTCGTGGACTTGATTTTGTAGGTTGGAAAGCTAAATGCTTTAACGTGTAAATTTTGAAGATAGGGATTTAATTTATTATTATTATATGTAGTCTAATTATAAAAATTGAAATCCCAAGAATTGTCTGCATGCAAGCTTGGAAAAGTCATTTGGCTTGCAAGTTGTAAGTTATAAAAGACAAGTTCGCGTTCCATTCATAGTCTATCCATCTATACATCTCTTCAAACATATGATTGGAACCTACCAAGTCGACCGGCTTGAAACGTTGGAAAATATGTGTATAAAATGAGTTATGTTTTACTCGTGTTTAACATCAATTAAGTCTCGATAAATTCATTAGATATTTTTATCAATAAATTTAAAATTGATTATATGAATTATTTTTCCCCTCGATTTGGCTAATGCTAAATCAAGTGAGAAAATATTGTACTTATGAATGAAAGCATTTGGAAAAAAAATATGAATGCAACAATTACATGAATGGTGAGAATAAAACATAAACACTTAATATTAAAATTTTTGCAATTGCTTTGGATGTAAATATATAATTTTATTTTATTTTTTCTATTAGAAGATTATACTATATATAGATGAAAAATTGGCCAGTATAGTAATGAGAATAAAAGGAGTGAAATATAACAAATGTGATTATCTAAATAACTAAACATTTTTATATGATGACTCAATGATTTTTAACCATCCAAAATTTCTTGATTTGTTGGGAAACATCACAAATTTCTTGATCACCATTCCTAGTTCGTCAAATGTCAAACTAATCGATTACAGATTCAAGTGATATAGAATTAAGCTTTGTTGCCAAATAAAATTGACTTCTTTGTTGACAGAAGAAGATATGTAAAAAAATAAAATTTTGCCACTTGACATTTCTAGCATCTAGGATGTCATTCAAAATGTCAGCGTAGCACGATTGATACATTGATACAATCATGTTATTTTGAGATTCTGTCTAGCCCTCTTTTTCTTACACGATCTTTTTTTTGTTTTATGTTATTGAATTTGTGTAGCTCTCCTTTAGTTTTCCTTTTCCCTTTTTTTTTTAAAAGCAAAGCAACTGAATTTATTATAATAGATAGTAATGAACATATCCCTTCCCTATAATATCCCTATAATATAAATAAATAATAAATCTCTGCTATCTTGATTAAAAGAGTCAATCCACTGTTTACTATTCATTGGTGAAGCTTTTTTTTAAATCTCATTTTATTCATATCCATTCTCCACTATTCATCCAAGTTTTAAGGGTAACATGGACTTCATTCTATCCATAGTTACAATTGTTGATTTTGAATCTCTTATTGCTTCTTGGGCAATCTACCGTTTACCGTTCATTTGTAAAGCTTTTTTTTTTTCAAAGGCAATCCACCATTTACTTGATTAGTGTTAAAAATAAGTGTTTATTAATTTGGTTAATATTATTTTTAAATGTATTGTGCATTTTTAAAAACTTGATTAGTGTTAAAAATAAGTGTTTATAAATTTGGTTAACGTTGTACAATTTTAAAATATACAAGATAAAAATGATTTTGTTTTGCTATGATTTTATCGTAGATTTTTGTTACCACTGAAAAAAACTCAGTGTTGTGCGGAGTGTTCAAGCCACTCTGCATAGTAAAAGTGAAATCTCCGTACACCGCGAAGTCAAGGAGTGTAAAAAAAAACTCTGCGCACTGCGAAGTGTTCACTCCGCTTCGCACAGCACAGAGTCACACTTCGCACTGTGTGGAGTGTGAAAAAAAAAGTGAAAACTCTGCACAGCGCGGAGTCACAGAGTTTGAAAAAAAATAAATTCTCAAGTGCCCGTGCTGTGCGGAGTTATTGTCTGCGCCATGTGCGTAGTATAACTTGCGTAGCCCCTGTTTGGTATATATTAAAATTTTTATTCTCATTTTCAAACACACATTTTTCAATAATATAATATTTTTTTATCACATCAATAATTTTTCATTCTTTTTCAACCATAAATTTTCCATCAATCTACTATTTCAGAATACATTTTTCCAAAATAATGTGGGTCAAACACACCTATAGTATAACTCCGCATTGTGCGGACGTGGCAGACCCATGAAAATTTTCAGTGCGGGTAGTATTAATAAAAGTAAAAAAAATTATAACACTAACATTGTACTAAAATGAAATACTTTACAATTGTTCTTTACGAGCATTTATACTTTGATATTTTTGTTAGCTCGACAAAATTATTCTCTCTATTTAATAACATGTCCTAACCTACTATC